AATTTCCTTATCTGTGTCCACGAATTTTGTTATATTTGCAATTTCCTTCATTTCAGTATATTTTTCATTTCCTTTGAGACTTCCTTTTTGACTCATAAAGTATATTGTTTAGGGATGCCTGGGTGGCTCGGTTGGTTAAGTGTTCAACTTGTGATCTCAGCTCAGGTCTTGATCTCAGGATTGTGATCTCAGGGTCGTGAGTTTGGGCCCTCTGTTGGATTCTGCACCGGGCATGAGCCCTACTTATAAGAAAAAATTTATGTTTTAGTTTCCAAATGTTTGGAGATTTTACTTTTTTTTTTTTTTTCTGTTATTCATTTCTAGTTTGACTTTACCATGGTCTGAGAACACACTCTATGTGATTTAAATTCTTTTAAATTTATTGAGGTTTGTTTCCTATGCTAGGATTTGATCTATCTGGGTATATATTCTGTGAGCCCTTGAAAAGAATATGTATTATGCTAATACTGGGTGGAGTGTTCCGTAAATATCAACTAAACCCTGCTGGTTTGCTGGTGTTGTTGAGTTCTTCTGTATCTTTACTGATTTTCTGACCACTTGTTTTATCTGTGTAACCAGAGGGGGTTTTGATGTCTCCGACTGTGATTGTATATTTTTCTATTTCTCCTTTAAGTTCTATCAGTTTTTTGCTGCACATATTTTGTAGTTCTGTTGTTTGATGCATACTTATTTAAGATTGCTTTGTCTTCTTGATAGACGGACCCTTTTGTCTTTAGATGGTATTCCTTTCTGTCTCTGGTAATTATTTTTGCTCTGGAGTCTACTTTATCTGAAATTAACATACCTTGCTTTTTTGGTTAGGTTTTCAGGATATGTATCTTATACTTTTAATCTACATATATTGTTACATTTGCAGGGAGCTTCTTGTAAAGAGCATAAAGTTAGGCTGCTCTGCCAATCTCTGTCTTTTAATTTGTGTATTTAGACTACTTATAGTTAATGTAATTACTGCTATGTTAGGGCTTCAGTCTGCATTTTTTAAATGTTTGTTCTGTTTTTCGTTTCTCTGCTTTCTTTTTCTTGCCTTCTTGTGGGTTACTTGAGTAATTTTTGGAATTCTGTTTTGATTAATTGATAGTGTTTTTGAGTATATACTGTTTTATGATTTTTCTTAGTGGTTTTCCTGTATATATTATATACACATACTTTTTAACAGTCTACTCGTGTCAGTATTTCATAAATTTAAGTGAAGTACAGCAGTCTTTTCTCTCTTTACAATATAATTTTAAATATTTCTTCTAAATACATTTAGAAACACATCAAATAGTGTTATAATTTTTAAATCAACCATCAAACATAACTTAGAAAACTCAAGGGGAAGTGAAAACATATTGCATTTACCTGTATCTTTTTTATGTACTCTTTACTGCTCTTTCTTCTGCCTTGAAGTCTCAAGGTTTCTTTAATACTTTCCTTTCTGTTTAGAGGATTTCCTTTAGTTGTTCTTTTAAAGGAGGCCTGCTGGTGACAAATTCCTTTAGTTTTCCTTTATCTGAGAATGTGTTAATTCTTCTTCATTCCTGAAGGATATTTTTGCCAAATATAGAATTTTGGGTCAACCATTATTTTCTTACAGCACTTGAAAAACGTTCTTCTTTCTTCTAGTCTTTGTGGCTTCTGATGGGAAATCCATGGCTTTTTTTTTTTTAATATTTTTTATTTATTTCTAGGAGAAAGAGAGAGAGACAGCGTGAGCAGGGGAGGGTCAGAGAGAGAGGGAGACACAGACTCTGAAATAGGCTCCAGGCTCCAGCTGGCAGTCAGCACAGAGCCCGACGCGGGGCTCGAACCCACGAACCGCGAGATCATGACCTAAGCGAAAGTCGGACGTCCAACGACTAAGCCACCCAGGCGCCCCGGGAAATCCATGGTTTTTCAAATTGTTTTCCCCATAGGTAAAGTATTGTTTTTCTCACTGCCTTGTAATTTTTGTTTAGTTTTCAGAAGTTGAATAAGATACATTTTGGTGTGGATTTCTGTGGTTTTATCCTGTTTGCTGAGCTTTTTGCATCTGTGGGTTTATGTCTTTTGCCAAATCTGTTAAGTTTTCTGCACTTCTATCTCCAAGTCCTTTTCAGTACCAACCTCTGTCTCCTTTTCTTTGGGGAATCCAGTGTTAGATCTTTTGTTTCAGTCCCAGAGGTTCTTGTGGGTCTGTTTAATTTAATTTAATTTAATTTAATTTTGTTATTTATTTATTAAAAAAATTTTTTAGATGTTTATTTATTCTTGAGAGAGAAAGACACACAGTGAGAGCAGAGAAGGGGCAGAGAGAAAGAGAAAGAGAGGGAGACACAGAATCTGAAGCAGTCTCCAGGCTCTGAGCTATTAGCACAGAGCCCAACGTGGGGCTCAAACTCCTGAACCACGAGATCATGACCTGAGCTGAAGTCAGATGCTTAACTGACTGAGCCACCCAAGCACCACTGTTTTATTTACTTTTAAAAGATTTTATTTTATTTTATTTTATTTTAGTAATCTCTACACCCAATACAAGGCTCAAACTCACAACCTCAAGATCAAGAATCACATACTCCAGTGATTGAGCTAGCCAGGTGCCCTTGTTCAGTCTTATAAAGTCTATTTTCTCTCTGTTGTTCAGATTGAATAAGATCTATTGTTCTGTCTTCAAGTTCACTGATTCTTTCCTCAGTGTCTCCTTTCTGCAGTTGAGCCCACCCATTGAGTTCTTTCATTTCATTCATGTTTTTCAGTTCTAGAATTTCCAACTGGTTCTCCTTTATATCTTCTGCTTTTTCTCTAAGACTTTATTACTTTGCTGAGAATTTCTATTTATTCATTTGATTTAAATAACTTTTAAAAATTCCTCTTGGAAACATTTTTTTTAAAGTCAACTTTATGCCCAGCACAGAGCCCAGCACAGGGCTTGAACCCATGGCCCTGAGATCAAGACCTGAGTTGAGATCAAGAGTTAGATGTGTAACCAACTGAACCACCCAGACATCCTGCTTGGAAGTATTTTTATGATTGCTGCTCCAAAATCTTTGTCAGATTATCATAACATGTCTCTGTCATATCAATGTTGGCATCTATTAATTGTCTTTTTATAAAATGTCAATATATTTATTTTGAGAGAGAGAGAGAGCAGGTGAGAGGCAGAAAGAGGGACAGAGAGAGAATCCTAAGCAGGTTCTGTGCCATCAGTGCAGAGACTGATGTGAGACTCAATCTCACAAACCATGAGATCATGACCTGAGCCACAATCAAGAGTTGGACATTTAACCAACTGAGCCACTCAGGTGACCTCTGACTGTCTTTTTTTTTTTTTTTTTTTTCCATTCAAGTTGAGATCTTTTTTGCACTCGGTATGATAAGCTATTTTCTTTTTTTTATTAAGAAAGCTCTACCCCCAATATGGGGCTTGAAGTCACAATCCCTAGATCAAGAGTTGCACGCTCCACTGACTGAACCAGGAAGCTGCCCTGGCAAGTGATTTTTGATTAAAACTTGGACACTTTTGTATTATCTTCTGAGACTCTGAATCTTATCCAAACCTTCTGTTTTAGCTGGCTTCCTCTGACATTTCTCCATCAGGGGATGAGAGGGTCCTAACCTCATTACTGCCAGGTAGGGCTAAAAGTCCAGGTTACCCATTTGATCTCTGCTGACACTCAGAAGGGAGGCTCCTTGTTACTTCTGGGCAGGGCTGGGAGTCCTCGTCACTAGGCCTCCATGGATATCTGGCTGGATGGGGAAGTTAGAAGTGCCTTATTCTTGGTGCCCACTTGACCTTCCTGACACCTTGGGCATGGTGTCTTCATTATCATTGGACAGTAGTGAAACTTCTGACTTGGAGGCAATGAGAGGTGCCCAGTTACGGTCTGATTGATGTTCAGGTCCTCTGCATGGTTTCCACTGATGCTGATGTGACGGGGGCTCTTCATCACCTGTGGGGATAGGATTCCCTATCGGACCCTGGGAGGGGTTGGGTGTGTTGCTGCAGCCAGGTGAGTGTGGAAGTTCAGGCTGGCATGGGTGGAGCAGGGGCAAGTGGTTATTGGCTACACATTTTCTGCCTTGCTGGGTTGCCCTTTCACATTCCTTTGGCTGCAAAGAACCAGCTTCTGTTGGAGCTTTTTGTCTGTGACAGATGATATTTCTGGGTTGTTGGGTCCTTCTGCCCCAAGTATGGGGTGTATAATGCAGAAAGAAAACCCAGGGAGCTCACTGTCAAGTCGTGCCTTGGGTTCCAGTGTCCTTGGCCAGTCTGCCTCCTTCTTTCCACCTTCTAGAGTCTCGTGATTGTTTTATACATAATGGCCAGGTTTTTCAGTAGTGCTAAGCAGGAGGGATAAGGAACAAGCAGGGGAGGGGCAGAGAGAGAGGGAGACACAGAATCCGAAGGAGGTGCTAGGCTCTGAACCGTCAGCCCAGAGCCCGACGCAGGGCTCGAACCCACAAACTGCGACATCACGACCGAGCTGAAGTCAGATGCTTAACCGACTGAACCACCCAGGCGCCCTGATGATATTTCAACACATATTTTTAAAAATCAAAGTTACTGCAGAAAAGACCCAGGATGAACAAAATTCAAACATTTTATTTTTTTTTCCTAAATTTTTAAAAATATTTTTATTTATTTCTAGGAGAGAGAGAGACAGCGTGAGCAGGGGAGGGTCAGAGAGAGAGGGAGACACAGACTCTGAAATAGACTCCAGGCTCTGAGCTGGCAGTCAGCACAGAGCCCGACGCGGGGCTCGAACCCATGAACCGCGAGATCATGACCTAAGCGAAAGTCAGACGCTTAGCCGACTAAGCCACCCAGGCGCCCCCAACATTCAAACATTTTAAATAAAGATAATGTCAGTGCCAGTGACTTTCCTTTTTGTCTTACGCTCTAGCGTGGCTTGCCACGGCACTGCCTGGCTACAAGAGGACTTTGAAGAATCCTCAAATCCCACCTGTTTTGTGACTCAAGTTGCTAAAACTGCATAAGCAGAATGGAAACAGAGATTCAGTGAGCCCGTTGCCTAGTAAATTGGTCATTTGGCAAATTGGTTTTCTATGCACGCGTGAGCGTCCTTTGGGAGGTCGTTGTTGCCGGGCCTGAGATTGTCTCCAGAAACTTCCAAACAGCACCCTGCCTGGGTCTCCACCATTTTCCTGGCACCTGGACAGGTAGGCAGAAGATAATTTCAGAGCGTCCCCATGGGTCGTGAAGGAAAGCGAAGGGAACGACCCGATGGTAACCAGAGGCAGGAGGCGGCTGCCCCATTTAGGGAGGGAGGTGACCTTTGAGCTGGAGAAGCAGCTGGCCGCGGGGAGAGCATTCCCAGCACAGGGAACAGCAGGTACGTACAAGGGAACGCGACAGGGCAGAGGGAGACCGATGCTGTTTGAACACTTCCTCTGCCACTTCTGAGCAGGCTGTCCTTGGCTCAGGCCTGTGGCTTCTTGGAGCCTCAGTCTTATCATTTGTAAAATGAGGAGAATAGAAAAGAGATTAGAGCTACCGTGGCCTGCATTGCTCCCCTCCCCTGCCCCCCAAAGATGCATATGTTGAAGCTCTAAACCCAATGTGACTGTATTTGGAGGCAGGCCTTCTGGAAGGCATAAAATGAGGTCATGCGTGTAGGGTCTCAATCTCATAGGACCGGCGGTCTCATAAGAAGGGGAAGAGCACTGAGAGTGTGGCCCAAGGAAAGGCCGTGTGGGCGCAAGGCAAGGAGGCGGCCCTCTGCAGGCAGGGCAGAGGGTCTCAGGCCTCCCAGCCTCCAGGTCGGTGAGGAAAACCCATTCCTGCTCGGAACCCACCGGGTCTGTGGTGTTTCATCACGGCAGCCTGGGCCTGGGCCTGAGCCTGAGCCTGGGCCTGAGCCTGAGCCTGAGCCTGAGCCTGGGCCTGGGCCCGAGCCTGAGCCTGGGCCTTGGCCTGAGCCTGAGCCTGGGCCTGGGCCCGAGCCTGGGCCTGGGCCTTGGCCTGAGCCTGAGCCCGAGCCCGGGCCTGGGCCTGGGCCTGAGCCTGAGCCTGGGCCTGAGCCCGGGCCTGAGCCTGAGCCTGGGCCTGGGCCTTGGCCTGAGCCTGAGCCCGAGCCCGGGCCTGGGCCTGGGCCTGAGCCTGAGCCTGGGCCTGAGCCCGAGCCTGGGCCTGAGCCTGGGCCTGGGCCCGGGCCCGAGCCCGAGCCTGGGCCTGGGCCTGGGCCTGAGCCTGGGCCTGGGCCTGAGCCTGGGCCTGGGCCTGGGCCTGAGCCTGGGCCTGAGCCTGAGCCTGGGCCTGGGCCTGAGCCTGAGCCTGGGCCTGGGCCTGCGCCTGGGCCTGGGCCTGAGCCTGAGCCTGGGCCTGGGCCTGAGCCTGGGCCTGGGCCTGGGCCTGGGCCTGAGCCTGAGCCTGAGCCTGAGCCAGGGGCCGAGCATGACCTGTTACTTCTTTCTTTCATCATGTCACGACACCTATGGAACTCTGCTGCTAATCGGCACGNGCCTGGGCCTGAGCCTGGGCCCGGGCCCGGGCCTGGGCCTGAGCCTGGGCCCGGGCCTGGGCCTGGGCCTGAGCCTGAGCCTGGGCCTGGGCCTGGGCCTGAGCCTGAGCCTGAGCCTGAGCCAGGGGCCGAGCATGACCTGTTACTTCTTTCTTTCATCATGTCACGACACCTATGGAACTCTGCTGCTAATCGGCACGAGGAGGCGTTCCAGTCACTGGACACAAACCCCAAATCCCTGCCCCGTGGAGTCAGTGGGAAAGACCACAATGGGTAAAATAAATGAGGAAGTTATACATGTCAGATGTCAGTTCCTGAAGAGGGGAAACTGAATCAGGACTAAGGGATGGGATGGAGCCGGGGTGGGGGGCGGGGAGGGAAGGGGGCTGTAGTTTAAAATAGAGTGTTCCTTGTGGTGCCTGGCTGGCTCAGTCGGTGGAGCATACGACTTTTGATCTCCAGGTAGTGAGTTCCGTCTCCACATTGGGTGTAGAGATTCCTTAAAAATAAAACTAATAAAACAAAATAAAATAAAATAAAATACAATAGAGTGGTCAGGGAGGGCCTCCTTGAGAAGGTGATGTTTGAGTAGAGGTCTGAAGGAAACAAAGTATACAGAAAGTATTCCAGGATGGGGGAACAGCAAGTGCAAAGGCCCTGAGGCAGGAGTGTGTCTGGGGGAAGCAAATGTGACAGAGTACCATGAGCAAGCAGGAGGGGAGTAGAAATGGGCTCAGAAAGGTCACTGGATGGACTTTTTATCAGAGAGGTGGAAGCGGAAGTGGGAGATTGAGAAGGTGAGTGTAATTGACAGGGCTTAGCGGACACTGTAGAGGGGCCAGGGCTGGGTAGGAGCATGGAGACCGGAGGGGCCGCTGCAGTGAGTCAGGTGACAGATGCTGGTGGCTTGGACTGGGGTGGGACGAGAGACCCTCGCAGGAGCGAACCTGTCCAGCCCTGAGTACGGTTTTGTGGTCCCGCTGGTGATGGGCTTGCCCCTGATGCTCCAGAGACTGGCCACCGACGGAGAATGGTGGTGACAAGTGGCACTAATTGCTTTGAGTATTTGCATCAGGGGAAAATCCAGCTCTTTTCATAAAAAAACAGATAAGAAGGAGCCTCTCTGTGGGTGCGGTGGGAAGGGCTGGGACGGGAGGGGGCGCCAGAGTGTGGGTGCCTGTGGGAAGCAGACGGGGGGGGGGGGCGGGGTGGGTGAGAGCAGGGGTGTCTGAAGGTGAGTCTGCTGCCTTCCTTGGAGCCAGAGCTGGACACGCACTGGGAGGGGGGCAGGGCCTTCACCCGGGCTGATGCCCTCGGCTGCCGGGCACTGCCCTGGGCCTCACCCTCCGAGACGCCCCTCCCAGAGGCAGCCACGGCCAGTAATCGGCTGGCTGGGGGTGCAGAGACCCGGTCCCTTTGTCCCACTTCGGGACAACGCTGAGCAGCCCTTGGGCTCCAGAGTCAGCATGAGACAGGCTGCCGCCTGCTCGCGACCACACTTGCCCACCTCGCTTCCTTGTGGTGCGTCCCCCCAGAGCACCCCATCCACCTCGCTGAGCCCCGCCTCCCGGTGTGTTTCCAGGGACCCCATCCAGCACAGTGCGCTGCCGGGGTTTCTGACAGCTTCGTCGGGCGGGCCCCTTGGCGGTTCATGCCTCACCTGCCTGAGGCCAAGTCCACGTCCTGCCTGCCTTCCCCACAGCAGCCCCCTCCCCACCCCCCGGGGCCTCCCTCAGCCGGGGAATCGCACGGCCAGCCACCCAGGTACCTGAGCCAGAAACACGGGGCGTCGACCCGATACAGCTTCTTCCCTCACCTCCTCAGGATTGCACCCGCCGTCGTGTCCTGTTGGCTGCCGCACGTCATTGCAGGGACCAGCCACCACCGTCTCCTGCTTGGACAAAGAGATGGACCTTTACACAGGCTTCCCTGCCTCCAGCCTGCTCTTGCTAGACGGGGTGCATCCCCTCCAGCACGCCAGCAGGCGGGTCCCTTGTCGCGGAGCATGGGTTGCTGGCGTGGGGCGTGTAAAGTGCCATTTGACTCCCAAGATCGAGGTTGAAGAAGGATCTTAGGCGTCTTAAAATCCAAGAAAATAAAACAAAGCTCTTTGAGAACTGCTTCTGAGATGCTGGTATGTCCCTAAGGATCCTCTGTCACCAAGTGTGTACCGATATCCTTTTCTGTAAGTAACCCTCCCCCCTGCCCCCTCCCCCCCAACTCTCTACAGTTTGGTTAAAGACTCCAGTCCCCACTCAGATCTGGTCTTGTTAATGTGGAAGCACTTCCGCTTTACCCAGAGATGCTCCTTGTGACATTCAGGGGCGCCTGGGCGGCTCAGTCCGTTAAGTGTCCGATGCTTGGTTTCAGCTCAGGTCATGATTTCACGGTTCGTGGGACTGAGCCCCGTGTGGAGTCCCACGCTGATAGCCGGGAGTCTGCTTGGGATTCTCTCTTTCTCTCTCTCTCTCTCTTCCTCTGTCTCTTTTTGCCCCTCCCCTGCTTGTGTGCATGCGCTCTCTCTTTCTTTACATAAATAAACTTAAAAAACCCCCACAATTCTCGTTAACGATTTTTCTAACAAAAGGGCTTTGACTCTTAATGCAGTTTTAAGAATTGTGTTCACTTGAAAGGAATTCTTTGAATTTCCAAAGAAAATGGAGTCAAACACGTAAAAGTAAAGTGTTTAGCATCACACTTGGCACATAAGACACCAATGCATACTCATTGTTTTTGCTCTGTTTATAGTTCCTGTCGTCCTGAGCGTTCCTGGTAAGGGAAGGGCTTTAAGTACCTGTCTCTGCACGGGCTTCAGGGTCTCTGAGTCTGGCTGCCTTCTCCTAACGCACCCCTGACCCCTTTGAAATGCTTCCTCAGCAAGGCAAACTTCTCTGTGGGAATTTCGGGGGCAGGATCACTAGCTCTGAGGCCTTGGCGGTTGCTAGATGCAGAGAAAACAAATATTGTTTTAGAAACATTAATAATTGAGAGCTTTTCAGCACAGAATTGGCCAGCATTAGGGGAATTGAAAATTAAGACTAAGACACTACCTCAAGCAGATTTTCTGGTGAATAATTCATAGAGCTGATGCCCATGAAGTTCTGGAAGAGAAAATCCCTTCTGCGTCTGCCCTCCCCCGCCCCAGCCTCACCTTGACTTTTCCCTGGCCCTGGTGGGGGGAGGGGCATCTGGGGAAGTACACAAAAGCCAACAACACAGCAGAGCTCAGACTGGAATTTTCCATGCAGTTTTTCCCCCATGGTGCTGTGTGACCATTGATAAAATTCTGTCCCTCTCTGAGTAACGATCCGGCCAACTTTGAACTATGACTCTTTGAGGCCCAAGTGACGGAAAGGACCTTGAGTACTCATGGAGGCCTCTGTTCCCAGGGAGATATATACCCCAAAGCGTGGGGTCTATTCCATTTCAGACCTCCCTCTTTCCTTCCTTCACACATGTACTGAGTGCCTACTGTGTGCTAAGTGCTGAGGACTTTGCCTCCCCAGAGGAGACACTGTCTAGGAAGCAGACAATTACAACTCACGGTGACTTGGACACAGATGGGGGGAAGGAGAAGGTCGTGGGTGTGTGAGTGACCCCTAAATTTAGCCCGAGGTGTGATCAGGGAGGGCTTTCTGGTAGAGGCCACACCTGAACTGAATCCTTCAGAGTTGAGTAGGAAAAGAAGGGAAGGAGGGGGTGTTCCGGGTTGTAACATTTCGATAACATTTATTTTAAAAGCCCCAGAAGAGAGAGAAGGAAGGGTACTTTTGTGGGGACAGCAAGGGCCCTGGGGCACGTGGCGCGGGTGCCCAGGGGAGAGGCTGGATCCTGTAAGGCATTAAGGCCAAGTTAAGGCCTTGCATTTGGACTTTACTCTGAGGGCAATGGGGAGCCAGCAGAGGTATAAGGAGGGTGCTGGGTACTTGTTCGGATTTGTTTGAGAAAGTTCCAGGGACTGGCGTGCGGCGCACTTGGCGGGAA